GCTGCCACTTGTCTGTTGAACTTTCAAAGCTTTCCTTCGTGCCAAACATAAATGAATCCTCTTGGGCCAGGGCTGTGATGCTCCATGGCTTCCTCTGTGTCCCTGCATCACCTGAGCTCACTTGTGACTCTGCCTGAAGCTCCTCTTGATGAAGATGAAGGGCAAGATGAAGAAGAAGATGCTTTTTGAGCCCTTTTTTCCCTCCTGAGAGGAGCAGGGATCAGCCTGGGAGATGCCAAGGATCCTTTTCCATTTTTTTTCTGCTCCTGTCCAGAGGGAGCCACTCGTGGAGCCTCTGCAATCACAAAACCTTTGGCTGCCACTTGTTGTGTGTTGATCTCTCAAAGCTTTCCTTCGTGCCAAACATAAATGAATCCTCCTGGCAGTTCAGGTGCTCTGGAATCTTTATTTACAGGCTGTTAATTGGGCTGGGGGAGTTGTTGGGGAAAATGAATGGGACATTTAGGATGGCGATAAAAGGGTTGGAGGGAGATGACAAACACTGGAAATATCGTTMTAAATATCCTTATAAATCCAGGAGTGATTTCCCCCAGGAAGGTGCAGCTTTCTCATCAGCCATCTAATGAGCTAATTAGAGCAGTGGAGAGTGGGAGCAAGGGAATAATCGTGGTGTGGCAGGGAGGAGCTGGGCAGCAGCTGAATTTCAGTGATTTCAGCACGTGCAGTTGTGTCTGCAGAGTGTCTGTCACAGTGAAATCGAAATGCTGACTCCTGGTAGGGATGTTCCCAGTTAGATCTGACTTTTCCAGGTTGTTCCCAGTTACATCTGATCGTTTTCCAGGATGTTCTCAGTTAGATCTGTTTTCCAGGCTGTTCCCAGTTTGATCTGAATGTTTTCCAAGTTATTCCCAGTTACATCTGTTCATTTTCCAGGGTGTTCCAAATTGAATCTGATAATTTTCCAGGTTCTTCCCAGTTAGATCCAATAATTTTCCAGGATGTTCCCAGTTAGATCTAGCTGTTTTCTGGGATGTTCCCAGTTACCTCTGATCATTTTCCAGGATGTTCCCAGTTAGATCTGGCTGTTTTCTGGGATGTTCCCAGTTACCTCTGATCATTTTCCAGGATGTTCCCAGTTACATTTACTGTTTTCCAGGCTGTTCCCGATCCCACTGTTTTCCAGTCCGATCCCAGTCCGATCCCGCTGTTTTCCAGGCTGTTCCCAGTTACATTTATTGTTTTTCAGGCTGCTCCCAGTTTGATCCTGCTGTTTTCCAGGCTGTTCCCAGTTACATTTATTGCTTTCCAGGCTGTTCCCAGTTTGATCAGACAGTTTTCCAGTCATTCCCAGTTTGATCAGACAGTTTTCCAGCTATTCCCAGTTTGATCCCACTGTTTTCCAGGCCGTTCCCAGTTTGATGGGATCATTTTCCAGCCATTCCCAGTTTGATCAGACAGTTTTCCAGCCGTTCCCAGTTTGATGGGATCATTTTCCAGCTATTCCCAGTTTGATCAGACAGTTTTCCAGTCATTCCCAGTTTGATCAGACAGTTTTCCAGCCATTCCCAGTTTGATGGGATCATTTTCCAGCCGTTCCCAGTTTGATCAGTTTTCCAGTCATTCCCAGTTTGATTGGACAGTTTTCCAGCCATTCCCAGTTTGATGGGATCATTTTCCAGTCATTCCCAGTTTGATCAGACAGTTTTCCAGCCATTCCCAGTTCGATGGGATCATTTTCCAGCTGTTCCCAGTTTGATCAGACAGTTTTCCAGCCATTCCCAGTTTGATCAGACAGTTTTCCAGTCATTCCCAGTTTGATCAGTTTTCTAGCCATTCCCAGTTTGATGGGATCATTTTCCAGCCGTTCCCAGTTACATTTATTGTTTTCCAGGTTGTTCCCAGTTACATTTATTGTTTTCCAGTCATTCCCAGTTCGATTGGACAGTTTTCCAGCCATTCCCAGTTAGCTGTGCCCATAAATCCCTCCTGTCCCTTTTGTTGCAGTGAAAGCCCTCACGGGGAGAGAGCCCTGGCAGAGGATTCAGCACAGGACGTGACGGCTGAGCACCACACCAGTGATGATGGTATGGCAACTGGGCTTTACTGGGATCACTGGTGCATGGGGGAGCCAGGGGAGGGTTCATTAGGGAGCACTAATTGGGCTAATTGGGCTGTGTGGTGTCACACCTCAGTCACGCCCCTCAATGAGGATCTTCCAGGGTGAAAGTGCAACGTCCTTCACTGAAATTCCTCCCTGCCTTTGCTTTGGGAAGATTGATCCCACCCTAAAGAGTTTTAGGGTGTCTGATCACATTTAAGGACAGCAGGAGGGGGAAAACCCCCAGCAAATCCTGCTGATTCCATCCCTCTGCTGCCGGGAGAAGGATCAGTTCATCCCTTTGTTGCCTTGAAAGGCCAGTTTTTAATAATGACACAGACAYGGTTAAGGGGATAAAAAGGGTTTTACCTCGGGATTTGGGATCCCAGGTGCACAACTTGATGGCAGAATGCACCCCCGTGTACAGCACGGGTACAAGTTTTATAGATTTCAGGAATTAGCATATCTATCTAGGATTCCCCAATAAGATACAAGATTTATAGGTTTCAGGAATTAGCATTTCTATCTGGGATTCCCCAATAAGATACATGTTTTATAGGTTTCAGGAATTAGCATTTCTATCTAGGATTCCCCAATAAGATACAAGTTTTATAGATTTCAGGAACTAGCATATTTATCCAGGATTCCCCAATAAGAAACAAGTTTTGTAGATTTCAGGAATTAGCATATTTATCCAGGATTCCCCAGTAAGAAACAAGTTTTATAGGTTTCAGGAATTAGCATTTCTATCTGGGATTCCCCAGTAAGATACAAGATTTATAGGTTTCAGGAATTAGCATTTCTATCTAGGATTCTTTAATAAGAAATTTAACAAATGCAGTGATGTCCCTCTATTCTAATGAATCCTGGATGAGGTCAGAGCCCAGTTTACACAGGATGTTTTGGACAGAAGGCTTCACCCAAAGCTGAGCTCGGGTTTAAGATAGCACAGGGCACACTGACTCTTTCTTCAGGATGTTTGGTCTCTCTGCCCAGCAGAACTCCTAAACTAAGCTGAAATATCAATCTTTAGGAATTACAAGCATGTGGGCTAAGGGGTACAGGTGGATACATAGAGGGCACAGAAGCATAAAGGGAAAAGCAAAAATCACCAGGCATCACCTTCACGCTCTGCTTTAGGCCGGGTTTAAGCTGCTGAGCTTAACCCTGAGCCCGGGAATTTGATGAAATGATATTTAATCCCTTTTGTTTCATGGCAGAGTGTGAGCCCATTGAAGCCATTGCCAAATTTGACTACGTGGGCAGGACTGCCCGGGAGCTGTCCTTCAAGAAAGGAGCGTCCCTGCTGCTCTACCAGCGCGCCTCGGACGATTGGTGGGAGGGACGGCACAACGGCATCGATGGCCTCATCCCACACCAGTACATCGTGGTGCAGGACACGTAGGTGACACCCACAGCCCCTTTGACACCCCGTGTGACAGCCCTGGGTGGGCTCTGGAGGGTCAGGCACTGGGGAGAGGTGGTTCTGGTGGATGGAAGGGAATGGTTTGGTGTGGAAAGAG